GGCAAGAGTTCCATCGAATCCAGGGCCTACCAATCGACCAACCAGCGCATTGCGACACAGGAGAGTGCTATAGCTCTCAACCAAACATTCTGCCTTTTCAGGAGTCACAGGGGAGGCCTTAGACCACAGCTGGGCGACTCGCTTGATAGAGTGTTGAAGACAAGCCACGTCCTGTGGCGATAGATGATCAAGGCCAACCTCAAGAGATTTGGAATCGCTCTCAAGGGGCTTAGGGACACAAACCAAATTGTGACACTCCCGAATACGGTATATGGCAGATTCATTCAAGTGCCTTGTGCCAGTCAAACAAGACCGGTTTATTTCGTCCTCTTTGAGAAAGAAAATTTCGACAGATCTGTTTCGCATAGCTCGAGACAGTTCGCCATGTCGAGGGTCAACTGTTAAGAACAATCGGAAATCAGGGTGCGGTGTGATCACCTGGGCAAGGCCATCAGGAGACTTGCGCTCATTCACGATAAGGCACCCATTTGGCTCCAAAAGAGAATTTAAGCGGTCTAAAACAGTGGCATTGCAAAGATTGGCGTTATCAAGTACCACCCAGCTGCCTTGTTTCATAGCATGGATCAGAATACCCTCAGTCCACTCGAATCCGGTTTCTCCTGCTGCTTCATCGACACAAATTTGCTTGCATTGCTCAAGAATATCCTGAAATATTGTGTCAGAGTGGTGTTGAGCTAGTTTGGAGAGGGGACCTAAGAGCTCTTGTGGACTGAAAGAGCTGTGCATCGTCATTTCGTATAGCTGTATCAACTCCGGACCCAAGGCTGCACTGCTATCCTCTGCCTGGGAGAATGCGATGACAATATGGTATCTTAAAAGGCTGATTAATTCACTTGCGAATGAAAGATATTGCCGGTGTCTGTCTCTTTGCTCAAAGCCACCAATGAGATCCATGGCATCTGTATCAGAATTCAGAGCAAGCTCAACAAGTTTAGCGCCGCTTAGAGCAGCAAGTCGTCTTATGCTAGAAGTCTTTCCACACCCAGATGGCCCGACTAAAAGACATGGCCATGCATTCTCTATGCAGAGCATCATAGACTCAACTAGATGCAAGCTGCGAGGGAAGTCTTTCGAATCATTGACTGAAAATTCATACAACTGTTGATTGCGGTCCAGCTTTCCCAGGCCAACCTGGTATGAGTAAGGGCTGAGATTGTGGAAGTAGTTTTTCGTGTCGGGGACCGTTCCGAATATATCATGATATAGTTGAGAAATTGATAGTCTATCGGGAGCAGTCCTGAACCTGTGTGAAATGACCACATCGAGGTATTGCGAAGGTGATATCTCAGCAGGGCTAGAAGTAAGCAGTTTGAGCCAGCGAGAGATATCCCGAAGGTTAACCTCCCAAGGGGCTCCAACAGCTCCAAGCCGACGATCAGTGAGTAGCTTCGTATTCAGCATAGTAACAAAATCAACTAGTTTGATGATTTTATCTTCCGGACACGCGGGGCTTAACCTCTGACAAATAATTTGCAGGTCATGAGAGGTAAATGAGTCCGCATAAACAACAGTAAATCGATTCACGAAAGACGCTGGAAGGCCCTTTCTCCCACCTCCTTGATGATGGGGATTCTGTGCAGCAAAGAGAACGAAATCAGGGTGCCGTTGGAACGTTTGGCCAAGTTCAGCAATATAAACTTGCTGCCGGTGATCTAAACAAGAATTCAGTCCTTCAAGCACAGATTGTGAGGCTAGGTTCATTTCATCTAATAAAACCCATCCACCGTGTTGCATTGCACGCAAAAATGGTGCATCGCTCCATGCAAAGCTACCTATGTCACCTCCATCGACGGGTATATCTGATCCAAACAGATCCGTTAAATCAGTCTGCTCCGACAAATTTATTCGAGTAAGTGGAACCCCAATAATCTGTGCTAGCGCTGCAACAAGTGTGGTCTTCCCAACTCCAGGGCTTCCTTCCAACAGAATAGGTTTGCTCGATTGGAGGCCACGGGCGACACGGATTGTGTTGCGTAAAGTTGTAGGTGCATCAAGTGCAAACTTGGAATCTGGGTTCGAGTTAGTTCCAAGAGGCAATGAGAATTGACCAATTTTCAAAGTATGCCCGTCCAGTTGCATACTGGAGTTCTGACTATATATTGACAGAGCATCAACCGAGAATAGCTCCCCAAGTTTCTCCAAGGATGATTGTCTATCCCTTTCAAGGTCACCAGAGGTAGATGCTAGCAATGCAGATGGATTTGCGCCAAGGCCATCAATATAGACCAGACAGGCCCCGTGTATAACAGCAGATTGGTCATCTAGTTGAGTACAAGAGTTGATAAATTGTGCCCAGGCCAGTAAGTCACGGACCGATATCGAGGATTGTGCCGAACCTCGGAACTTATCCTTGAACCATTTTGCAAAAGATACCATCCCTTGAGGTACATTACGCAGAGATGGTTTGACGTTCGCTTCCAAGATTGGCAATATGTCATCATCCTCTAGAAGTTCTGGAACCCAAATCTCTGTCAATCGATTCCTCAATGCAGCAGAAAGCTCTCGTTTTCCATAATCACCTCCAGGGTTCATAGTACCAAGGAATTGAAAGCCATCAGTAGCAGTAACAAGAGAGTCAACGGGGCCTTTCTCGGCCAGCAGCACAGTCCTTGTAGTTTCAAGTACGCTGTTAAGCCGCTCAAGGACAGAATCGTCTGCGAGAGATAATTCATCAAGGAGAAAATGCTGTCCCGTTTTCATGGCTGTGACTAAACTCCCGTCAGACCATTCAAAAAGGGAGTTTGCTCTTGTTATGTTGGTCTTAATTTTGTGAATAAGATCTGGGTCACAATGGCCGGAAGACAACTTTTCAACGGCATAAAATGCATTCTTGAGGTCTTCAAGGGATGAAAAAGGCCCGGTATGTATCTGGTGGGCTTGTTCTAAGGCCAAAGTTATATCTCTCTCAAGCTGATGAATGATTGAGGAGCGATTCCTTATAGGTCGCTGGGAACCAATAAGATCTCCTGTTTCCAGATTGACGTGGGCATTGACAATGAATAGCTCTTTGCCATAGACTTCTGCAATAGCCTGGCATATCTGAGTTTTACCACACCCAGTTTCTCCGACTAGAAGAACAGGCTCGTTATGCTCAACAGCTTCGGACACAAGGATGAAGAGCCTCCTCATAGCAGGTGTCCAAACGATATTGGATGGAACTGCCGCGGATAAATGCTTCAGTCGTGTTTCAACGGCGGATTTACTGTATATTTCATTTTCATCCAGTTTCACACCCATGACTTTCTCTATCACCTTTTTCACAGCGCTCCTCTCCTGGCGATTCCTTACTCTTTCAGCAAGGAGCATAAAGCCATGCACAGCCAGTTGTTCTCGGTCATCTGCGCGTCTCATAGCCCACCTGAAGAGATCACGAAGTGTCGCAAAACTGTTTCTCTGTTCAAAGAGTCGGTTTGATTGACGTAGGATAGACAGCTGTCGATATACAGAGACTATCCGGGTGCAGAATGACGGTGGGATTTGTGAACGTTCCTTCAATATAAACTCGAGTTCATCTTCGGGTATATCATCAAAATGCAATTCAAGAAATCGATTCCTGAATGCACGAGACAACACCTTCCTTCCTCCATAGAGACCCGCGGGGTTTTGAGTAGCAAATAACATGAAGTTGGGGTGTGGGCGGACTACTTCTTGTGTTTCGGGGATGAAAAGCTCCCTGTTGTCATCAAGTAGACGATTTAGAGCCTCGAGAACATCGGTTGGTGCAAGATTAAGCTCATCAAGCACAATCCAGTATCCTCTTTTCAAAGCCTCGACAAGGACGCCATCCTGGTACTTTAAAGTGCCATCTTCAGAAGTAGCATAAGAACCTAGATATTCCTGAAGATCCGTGTGTTCATGATTATTGATCCTCACAAATCGGTTTCCAGAGAGTTTGGCCAGATGCTCAACCATGCTGGTTTTTCCAGAAGAAGTTGGTCCCTGTAATAGAATGGGAAATCGCCGAGTTGAACTGGCTCTGACGAGATTCATAAGATTCCTTTCGATAAAGGGGGTAATAATGTAGTGTGGTTGGGACTCTGGTGGGAAATCACCCTTTTGCATCCAATAGTGTTTATACTGAACATATTCTGCTCCATCTTTGAACTCTCTGGGAGTCTGAGAAAGTATGGATCTTGCATTTCCAACCTTCCCAAATATATGTTTCTCCAGTAAAGGGATAACTTGACGTTCAGAATCCTTGCTCAAAAGTGTTAAAAAGCTCATGGAGAAACCTTCATATATAGCACGACGAACTCCGTATATATGCGCCTGATCGGTCACATACATCAAGGTACGGACAAGAGTTCGGATGCTAAAATGGGGTTTATGTCCAGCTCCGTCAGTCAATTGATTCTCCATAGCTAAACGTTTCGTTTCGAGATAGATATTCGCAAGATCCGAGGCGACACGAGAATCGTGATTCAGTAGGGGGCCAAGGTAGGTACGTATCAGACTCAGTAGGTCATCTATGTCGCTGTCTGGAGATCTGACGTAGAGCTCTGTAAATCTTGATCTTAACCCAGGGGCAAGGTCACGCTTCCCTGCATCCGTGGCAGGGTTCATTGCTCCAAAGATCCGGAAATTTGGATGACCAATAACTCGTTCCATCTCTCCAGCCTCGGAGAGGAGCACTGAAGGATTACCGTCGCGCCCATGGTGCAATAAACTGGCAATACTCTCCAAGGTATCAGGCGATGCAAGATTGATCTCATCCAGAAGCACCCATTCCCCATTCCTCAGGGCTTTCACAATCTTTCCCTGGACAAAGGCGAATGAGAATTTGGCATCTCCTTGCAAAACCCTGGCTTCAAACTCTCTGAAATCGGAGGTGAATGAAGACCATTTTGCTAACAATGAGCTATATTTGGGGCTATCAAGCTTTCTCTTTTTCGCTGGTTGTTCTGCCGCCTCTTTGATATCGGTTTGGGTCTTTTTGGAGGTACCAAATAAGTCAGAAACCATTTTGACAGCCTCATTTAGGACATTGACGAGTCGTGGCCAATTCCCAGAAGTAACACTCTTTGCAACAGAAGATAGGAACTTCTGATTTTTCTTGACAGAGAATGTAGACTCAAACAAGGCGTTGAACTCGTCCACGAGAGGTACTGCTATTGATCGAAGATTGACAGGCTTGTACCCACCCAGAAGGTCAGAAGCCTCGCTTTGTTGGGATAAATTGACAACTGTCAACTTTTGGTTTAAAAGCGATGCCAGTTGCTGGACAACTGCAGTTTTACCAATACCAGTCTCTCCAACAAGTAGGATAGGTTCCGAAACTTGAAGGGCAGCAGCAGCCTGTTCCATTAGTCGTAAAGAACTCTTCGTTGCCGCAAATGACTTAGCTTGATTAGTCCTTGCCCCTGCCATACTCCGTGATTGAATCTTTGAGCAAACCTCCCTTCCAATCAATAATTCTGAAAGTTCATCGGAATAATTCGGTACACGTTCTGATAGGCAAAATTTCCATTTTTGTGGGGAAATATGCATTTCTTCAGCAATACTGCTTGCAAGCGCCAAATGCAGTTCATTGTTTGGGATATGAGCCGCAAAACAGTCAACAGCGTCCATGAATATTTCATCATCAATCCGAGCTGGCACTGATTCGTTCCCGCTCTTGATCCCTAGCTTTCGTAAACGAGTCTCGACCCTGTTGCAAAATTTCATTAAGTCACGAAGGCCAATCGGCCTCCCTTGCACCCGTCTGGATGCCCCAGATCCAAGGAACGTGGATATAACTCGAAAGTATAGCGTTAAGAAAGTATCGGCGTATCGGGTAATGTTTAGTAATGGGAATTCATTCTTGATTATTTGAGAGACCTCTTCCACGGGTAAAGGTGAAATGCGAATTGTATTCCACAAACGGCCGCCTAGCATCGTCATACCTGGAGCCACATCATCCCCTCTGTTATTTAAGAATGATCTCATGGTTGCAATAATGCGGAATCCTTCAGCACAACGAATATGTTCTCGGCGACTCGGAATTACAAGTTCCCTGTTCTCAATCAAGGGTAAAATGACCGAAATCACTTCAGCAGGTGCGCGATCCAAGTCTTCGATTAAAATCCACCTTCCTTCCCTCGCAGCTTGGGTTAATACTCCCGGCTGCCATTTGAAGCTGCCACTTTGTCCCGAAGTGGAGTAGACGCCTAATAAGCTCTTTGAATCCGTTTGCTCGTTTAAATGAAGGGTTATCATTGAGGACAAGTTTCCCATTTCGCTTGCAGCTTCCATGACCAGAGACGTCTTCCCAGCTCCTGGTTGTCCAACAAGTAATAAAGGGTCTTGAGATAGAAGTGCTTCTCCCACCTTGCGAAGATTGGCTCTAACAGCAGGTGTCTGAACAAGCTTAAAGGCCTGGGAACTAGTCTTCTGCCTCAGGGAAGGAACAAGAATGCCACCGATTTCTGCCGTATAATCTAATGACCTAAAATTCTTGATCCATAGATCAAAGAAGCTTCCATTGCGATTTTGACGAGCTGTTTCTAGCGCTGTTTCAAGTTCTTTATATCTCTGTTCCTCCCAGAAGCTGATCAACCTGAAATCAATAAGCTGACCTTCCAAGGTATTGTCAAGGGGACCGTCACCGCAATAACGGTGGAGCATGTTCTCCAAAACAGCATCTGCAGCCTTTATGTGCAGACAAAAACAACGGACTGCCATACACCGTATTATCTTATTTGAATGTGAGAACAGAGCTTGAAGCTGGTTAGGAAACACATATGGCGAAAATGTGTCCGCGTCGAAACTTAACAGTCGAAAAGCTGAGAGGAGTAATGAGAGAAGAGATCCGTCATTGATATGGGAAACGTCTGAGGGACATTGCTCAGAGAACAATGGCAAGCCCACATTCTGAGCTTGAAGAACCCTTTCAGCAAGCGGTCGTAGATATGGAGAATGGGGCAAAATCAGTGAAAATGCCGATATTACATGTTCAAAATGAACATTCAAGTCCAGTAAGAGCCACCGAGCAGCAATATCCACAAACACTGGCTCTAGTAATGGGAATAGTGTAGCCGTATAGCTCGGGTCTAGAGCTGCCAGAACCAGTTGATCCTGCTGGGTATTGGCTGGAGCTTTGAGAATCGATTGTGCTAGCTCCTCTGGTAGTTGATGTAAAAGACCGGGCTCTATCGAGAACTCCGGCACGGCTGGTAAAGTCTCCATTTTCGAGGGACTCTACGCAGCGCGGCGTTTTCTCCTGTAGATACAGGACGTTTGATGTCTTGATATCGAAATCAGAATCTCAAAAAAATTCCTTATCGAAGATACTTTTCTGCCGAAACTCTAATTCTGCCGCATTTCACCGCGTTCATTCCTACCCAACTAATCAGTCACGTGAAAGCCGGGCCTTATTTTGCGCATTGACCAACTAAGCAGGTACGGATAAAGCAAATTGCAGGCTGACAAGTTGACATTCTCAACGACCACAGGAGAGAGAAACGACTCCCGGGTGCACATATATATAGTTATATATATGACAGAAGGAGAGATGTTGGCTATCGTTCCGTGACTGTGTTCGCATAACCTGGAGGTAGCATAGGCTCCGTCACGCGAGACAGGATGGAGGTGCCGGGGGAGCTATCAATAGACATGGCCGATACGATTAACACCGATCAACCAGACGACGGGTTATCGCAGTCGTTTAGTCAGGGCCAGGAGTCATCAGAGGAACCGTAAGCTAGCCAACCGCAGCCGCATTTGATAGGTCCCTGCTAACAATCGATATACAGGATCACGTTCAAGCGCAGGCAGAAACCCCCATCGCGGTTCGGTCTTCACAGCATATTTGGCAGCGTAAACGATTCTCCCATCTCATCTCATAGCCGTCTCAGGAGTATCGACGAGAGTCCACGGGGCTCACGACCTGGTACAGCGAATCAGAATACCAGCAGAGAACCGGGCAATGGGTCTGGCGCTTCGAACAAACCGGGAGCACCGACGGATTGGTATATCGAAGGACCTGGCAGAAGAGTAGGGTATGACGACTTGACTGCCATTGACTGGATATTTGAGTATACAAAGGAAAGGCAACGAATACGGCATCTGAATGCGAATAACCCTGGCTTGCTTGGCACATTCAGGCAGCTGCTAGACGCCAGCCAGGTTTGGATGGTACTAGTTATGACTGGTTTGGCTGTTGGCCTTCTAGCAGGATGCATTGATATTACGAGTCGATGGCTAGCTGATATAAAAGTGGGATACTGCAAGTCAGGCGTGGAAGGGGGTAAATTCTACCTCAACCGAAGCTTTTGCTGCTGGGGATATGATGGTATGGACTACTGAAGCTATTAAGCCATTATATACAAAGATACTTACATTTATTAGACCCGGCCAACTGCAAACATTGGATTTCGTGGCACGATGCTTTTAAAATCAGCTCCAAAGCAGGTGGTTTTGTTGCAGAATATATGGTTTTTATCATGTATTCAATCCTGTTCGCCACATGCGCAGCAGTCCTTGTCACATCCTATGCAACCCACGCTAAACATAGCGGTATCCCTGAAATTAAGACAATTTTAGGGGGTTTCGTGATCAAGAAATTTATGGGGTTATGGACTTTAATGATCAAATCTGTTGGCTTGGTAGGCAACCCAACATCCATATCATTGATTCTAAGACTCACTCTTTTCTAGTGCCTTTCTGTGGCATCTGGTATGTGGTTAGGAAAGGAGGGCCCACTGGTTCATGTTGCATGCTGCTGTGCAAATGTAATCATGAAACCATTTGGCAGCCTCAATCATAACGAAGGTGATCACCATACAAGCAGCTTTTGTCCTTGTCACCTAGTTCTAACGCTTCTACAGCACGGAAGAGAGAAGTTCTCTCTGCAGCAGCAGCTGCTGGGATATCAGTGGCATTTGGATCACCCATAGGAGGTGTACTGTTCAGCCTTGAGGTATGATACCTTATTCTCATCGATCAATAAGGCCCCATCGCTAACTCAAACAGCAACTATCCTATTATTTTCCTGATAAAACCATGTGGCAGAGCTTTGTTTGTGCTATGGCTGCAGCAATCTCTCTGCGCGCTGTCAACCCATTCCGTACGGGGAACATCGTCCTTTATCAAGTCACCGATTCTCAGAGATGGCATCCTATCGAGATTTTACTATTCATTCTCCTAGGCATATTTGGAGGCCTATACGGCGGACTTTTCATCAAACTCAACATGCAGATTTCTAAATGGCGAAAGTCTCGAAATTTTTCCTTCCCCGTATTAGAAGTCCTCTTCGTGGCCCTTTTAACAGGCCTAATCAACTTCCCAAACTCCTTTATGAAGGCACAGCTATCAGACCTTTTACAAGCTCTTTTTGCGGAATGTTCCAAGACCCCAGCGGATGAATTTGGCCTGTGTAAGGGTAATTCTGACTTTGCTGGAGTGTTTTGGGCCTTAGTGTTTGCTGGAACTCTCGGGTTCTTGCTTGCATCTATCACATTTGGACTGGATATTCCTGCCGGCGTGATCCTCCCGTCCCTTGCCATCGGTGCATTGTACGGTCGAGCTCTGGGCACCATGGTTAGTGTTTGGCAAAAATCGCATCCAAACTCCCTACTTTTTAGTGATTGTGAACCTGGCGCACCATGCGTTACGCCCGGTACGTATGCAATTGTTGGAGCAGCCGCTGCTCTAGGAGGGGCTACTAGGATGACTGTGTCAATCGTCGTTATCATGTTTGAGTTAACCGGGGCTCTGACACATGTGATTCCAATTATGATTGCAGTTATGCTTTCCAAATGGTGCGGTGATATATTTGGGAAGCGAGGCATCTATGAATCCTGGATACACCTAAACGAATATCCTTTCCTTGACCAAAAAGACGACACTCCACCTCCAGATGTACCAGTCAGCCAAGTTATGACTAGCATCAATGACCTTACGGTGATCACCGCCGTAGGCCACACCGTTGAATCCCTGAGAAATTTACTTTCCAGTACCTCGTACCGAGGATTCCCTGTGGTATCAGACATGGCCAATCCGACGCTACTTGGATATATATCCCGCAATGAATTGTCATATGCGCTTAATGTCTCTTCTTCCCGCCATTCAGGAAGTCTCTCCCCGGAAACCCAGACCTTTTTCTCACATCAGCCTTTTGCTGATCCTGCCGAAACTCTTGACCTTCGACCGTGGATGGACCAGACGCCCATCACTATGAATATTCATACCAATCTCCTGATCGTACTAAACATGTTTCAAAGACTTGGTCTGAGGTATGTGCTTATAGTAAATAGAGGGAGACTAGAGGGGTTCTTGACAAAGAAGGATATCTGGTATATTCTTAACGAGTCATCTAAAGCAGACCCTACCTCGGGAATTGGCGGAGGTATATTACAGGCAGATGGCACGGGGGAGGCGCGAGGTTTACTATCCCGCGCCGACAACCCGATGCTTGTCAGCCCCGTTGATGATGGTAATATGTTATGAAAAGAGCACGTTCATGTTTGTATCAGTAATGTATGTCATAGTAGTACAATTGAATATCAATATCCTTCTAGAACTGAATTTTGAGTTGTACACATTTTCCAGACCTTTTTTTTTCTCGTATGAGCCTATGCGTCCGCCTTTTTACCTTCTATAATGAACCCAGGAAAATGAAAGGTATCAGTTATTTAGTACAGCTTTTCATAAGTCGACGGGGAATAGTGTTGACGAATTGTGTTGAAGGGTAAACCAGCCCATGCACAAAAAGGGTATTTTGCAACCAAAATATAAGGAATTAAAAGAAAAAAAAAAAAAATTAAAATCGTGTTCCGTTAACACCTTGGACGCCCTTGCCAAGCTGACTGGCAACGACAGTAGCCTCTCTGACAGAGCGTGCAATGGCACCGCGGACTCGTCCCTCTTCAAGGACAAGAAGACCACCAATAGTGCAACCGCCGGGGGTGCTAGTCTTCTCGCGAATCAAAGCGGGGTGCTCGCCATTCAGAACCATTCCAGCGGTTCCACGCATGACCTGAGCAGCCATCAACTGCGACTCAGCCCTGGGAAGACCCATGGCAACGGCTCCATCAGCCAAGGCTTCCAACACAAGAGCAACGAAAGCAGTGCCGGATCCGGCCAGAGCAGTGCTTGCGTCCATGATGTGTGGAGGGAGGGTGATGACACGGCCCACACGAGTGAAGATCCAGGAAACAATGGTGCTCTGGAAGTGGGAGAGCGGTGGATTCGTGCTGGCAATGACGGTCATTGACTCTCTGACAATTGCAGCAGTGTTGGGCATGGCACGAACGACACGGCATCTGTCGGCCATGTCAAGATCAGAATCCTTGTAGAGCACCTCTTCGATCTGCTCTGCAGGCACACCAGCTAGGATGCTGATCAACAGTTTGCCTTTGAGAGCTTCTCTCATGCCGGGGACATTGAGAACTTCACTCAGCATGTATGGCTTGCAGCCGAGCACGATGACATCACCGTCGGTCACACCCTTGACGTTCTCGTTTTGAAGGATGGTCAAGGGGAGGTTGTACGGGCTGAGGATGTGCTGGATCCTCTTGACCGACTCTGGTCTCCGTACGCAGGCAATAAACTTGGATGGGATCTGGTGCACCGGCAGGCCCTCAGAAGGGGTGGCGGATCCGGATGGCGGAGGATACGCCGACGAGCTCCTCGGTTCAGAGAGAGAAGCCATCACGCCAGAGAGAATCGAGGTACCGAGTGTTCCTGTGGTTGACGACGCCAAGTTAGCCGCATTCGCTCGTTTGTTTTTCTTCGGAACATGCATCACTAGTTCCCCTTCCCCCCCGGCGGCGGCTGCGGGAAGAACCTACCACATCCAAGAAAGGTCACTGTCGTCCCCGAGTGACCAAGAGAAAGGGTGCCGTCCATGAACGAAGACATGATTGCAGGGAGGTGTAAGGTGAAAAACAGGCGAACAAACAGCTGAGTCGGAGGTGCGTAAATGTGGTGAAACTGGAGGAACGAGGGCGTCGAGCAGTTCGTGGAGTTGCTGGGAGCGACGATGATTTTATATACGGCGAACTTTTCCTGTTTCGTGAAAATGAGCAAAAAGCAAAAATAGAACGGAAGAACGTCGGCCCGCGGCAAGGGGGCCCATGCGCCCGGTTTTACCCGTTTTGGTGCTTATCTAATGCACTATTACGTCAGCGTGGCTTTTTTAGACTCTGCGAGGGAAGTTTCAACACGAAGAAAAAGCCGACTATCAAACCCAGAGGAAACGAAACCCATCATCACAAGAGCAACGCCGGGCCAGGGGAACAAGGGACGACACGACACGGAGCCATGATCTCATGAGGCAAAAACGGAAGACAGATTGTGACACCGACGTTCGAGCATGGCTGACCCCTTCGAGGTCCGCATGCGCTTTACGACGCAATTGCAACATCTAAGCGCATCCTTCACCTCGTCGCAGAAGGCAGCCAACTATGTCTTGAAACACAGGGATATGGGGGAAGACCTCCACTCATGCATCTTGGAGCAATTGGAAAGGGTGAGTCAAGCCAGCATCATTGAAATGCCCCTTGAAAAGAGTAAAATGAGCTGACAAATAGATCGCAGAGCAATATGAATACCAGGGCCAACATCATGTACTTCATCGAGCATCTGGCCGACATGGCCACGAACGAGAACCACCCCGAGTTCGTCCATATGATCAAACGTGATATTCTCCAAATCGTTGATGCAGTTGCCCCTGCAGACGGCTCCGGGGCTGCCAATGTGAAACATGTAAGGCGTGTTTTGAACGGTCTTCAGTCCAAGGAAATCCTCTCCCACGAAACGGTATCTGAGATCGACGCCTGTCTCAAGGAACGAGAGAGCTATCCAGCTCATCTCCTTGACCTGGAACCGCTCGAAGAACCCGCCACCACGGATACCGCAAAGACTGGGTCGGATGCCACAAAGTCAAGGGTCACCGTTGACCGGAAACAGATCGAACAACGTGTGGAGGAAGACCGAGAGAGGAACAAGCGATTGAGAGAGAATATGTGGGCGGTACCGCCACACGACATGAAGGAGTTTGAGAAGATGTGGGATGAGGTGAGCGACGTGGGAGACGATGACTACCTCCAGGCCGCAGAGGAGGCAGAAGAGAGACGGAGGACTGCTGAGGCTTCGGGTCTCTACAACTAAACTAACGATATACGACTATGAAATATTTACTTGGAAAGAAACATTATTGGCGTTACGGGGCGGCGCTTTGATACATTTTGAACTTCTATCTGGTATTCTTCATGTCTTCTAATATCATGCAAACCGCCAACCATACCTTCTCAAGTTTATTCCGAGCAAGACACAACGCTCTTCATTATTTATTTTATTCTGTCATCCATTCCATTTATAAAAATCAGGTGGACGGCGATTGGTCAATAGATGTCGGCGAAATAAAAACCCGGCTTCTCCTGCAAAAAAATGTCATTGGCGTAATTGGAAGAAAAAGATAACTGACTGATAGCTATATTGCAATTTTCACGACTCCTCGATCTTTTTCATTCCACATGTTGTCTCAAATAGTAACTGCTGCTCGTGGTTTATTCAAGAGGCCAGAGGGCACCGAAGATACGGCGTCTGAGCAGGAACAATCCGCCGATATGGTCACGATAATCGAAAATTCGACTTCCTCACAAGAGACGCCCGTATCCCAGGAGTTCTCCCCAGTGTCGAGTGGAAAACGCAAAGACACATCATCATCTGTACCTGAAAGTGTCGAGAACAGACCGCAAAAGAGGCGGAAAGGCGAGCCAAGCTCAAAGGCTGCTGATCCCAATGATACAATAAAGGGTGAGGGAGATGCAGCCAAACAGAGGAAGCTTCAGGTATTGGAGTCTGTTACAATAATCAATCCGCCAAATACCAACTCTGCACCGACATTACAGGCAGATGAGAAACATGCCTTGCCTAATCCAAGGAAAATCCGCTTTGGGAGCGAAGAACCCAACGACACTCACCTAGACGATGACGAGCAACACGAGGATGCAGAATTGGAAAATGGAACAGCCGCCGAAGCAGAAGATGATGAGGACGATAGTAGTGATGACGAAGCTCCTGAAGCAGTCAGCAATGCTGCTCAGCTATTGCAAATAAGAGAAGCTGAACGCAAAAAGGAAGAAACAAGACAAATGTAAGCGATGCGGTCCGAATATTCTCTCAGCACGCCTAGTACTAACTGCTTTTATAACAGACACGAACAATTGAGAAGGGAAAAACGAAAAGAGCATGAAAAACGACTACAACAACAGGCTGCTTCGAAAGCAGCAATCCAGAAGGCAGCTGATGCCCGTCGCGAGGCCAAGGCCAAACAGGCCGAAGCGAAAATATCAAAGCATGATGAACATCAGTCCGAAAGCTCAATGACTCTCAGTGCTGGAACACGGGAGTCGAAGCACGGTCTATCAGCACCATTACCCGCACTTCTTCCAGCCGAAATTCTAAATGCAGAGCCATCCCAGCCACTAATAACAGCGCTTGATGTCGAAAAGCTGAAGATGAACACTCCAAGACATATAAGGATTACTGATACAGCTGATCGACAACCCAAGGATCTCAAGGTTGGATCTACTGCCATCAGAGTGTTGGGTGACTCTGGTAGAAGCTCCAGCCCTATACTACCACCGAAAAGTTCAAATAGTAGCAGGCGCGTTAAGGAAAATTGGGTTGGCGGGAGGCGAAAAATGGGAGCTACCGGGGCGTTGCGGCATAGTACTGGCGGTCCAAAGAGTTTTGCTAAGAAATGATATATGTGAGAGTGGAGTTTAGCCCTGAAATGACGATACCATTTGTAACCTTATCTTCACCCTGTTAATCGTAGTAAATGCCCCGGCTGACTTCATTACATCCAGGGTCGTTTTTCACCACATCTGAACCCCCAATCAGTTGAATCTAGAAAGGAGCCTTGAATCTATATCTGCTATCCTTCTTTTAGGGACATTTGACTGTTACCACTAGACAGTTAATTAATAAAATAGTTAATGAAGTGAATTGTTCAATTCACAGTCCAACAAGCCCCTTACGACAACTCAAAAAGCCAGAAACCATAAGGAATTTAACCGTGGACCTTGTCTTTTTACATCTCGATATCTACTACCCATACACATAGCCCATACTGTCCCAGGTATACCTGCAGTCGAGATTGCCCTCCAGGTGGGCGAAGACTTGATAAAGAAGACCTCCGACGCTGCTGGCTGGGAAACCCGCGAGCCTCTGTGGCACTTTTAGGGCTAGCAGGTATCCCGCAACCTGAAAGGATCTCTATGAATCAGGACCTGACGACCTATCTTAGCGCGTTGGAGATGAGATTTGAAGACAACCAGCTGCTTCAAAGCTGTAGGTGTGCCCATGCCAGGTCCTGTTTGAGCTATCTGACAACTTATCTTCTTGTTACTATAGGGGTCTCAGAGGGTTTCCAACTCCATGCCCTTTCCAACGTCCTTATCTGCACCAGTAATGCAAAGGAATTTGTAGCCGGCAGC